TTCTAACTCAGCTCCGCTAAAGAACTGAAAAAAACTGATGAGCGAATAAATTCACCTATGATATTTTCACAGTTTTTAGGGAGAATCCTGGCTGGAGAGATCTGTGAGTTTCCACAAAAGGAACAAAGCTGAGAAAAAATGCACAAAGGGAGTGAACAAAGCAGATTTGTTAATGGAAAACCATAAGCATTTTTCTGCCTCAGTTGTCAGGTGGGGATAGTGACACTTTAACCGCAGAAATCATGGCTGCACACAGCATATTTACCATACCCACACCACGACTTCCACCTAGCATCTGGACTTCTATACTTTTCAAACAATAATGGCACATGCATGCATCCAGAAATCACTTTTCATATCTAGAATAGCAAATGCTTCCCAAGTCAAGCAGATGTTTTAACGCATTGGTAATATTAGGAAGTGAGTATTTTTGACCCTTTGTGAATGAGCTAGGGAGGACAACAGACAATCCTTCTGCAGCCCAGACTATATAATTGAAGTCTACATTGATCACATAAAATTGTGCAGACTTTTACAGCCACTCGCACTTCTAAAATGAAGGTGGATTCAACAGATACAATACATCAGAGGCTCCAAGTCTCTTTTAGATGTCTAGGCATTACACTTGAGGGGAGGATGAAAAGTTCAAAGGGAGAGAAAAGGGTATCCATGGTAGAGCTAAACACAGGCACAAGATTCCAAGTTTGCCTCATGGATGTATCATCACTACAGGCAGCAGCTGCTCTCCTAATTATGAAAGAAAAAGTGGCAGCCCTGAATTAAAAAGTGGCACATGTCCTGTAGCAGAATGAGTGACCCTTGATCTGCACTGAACAGTTGATCTTCCCAAACTTCTCATTACTGAGCCCAGAACAAACAATGCCAGATGAACAGCAGAAAACACAGACTACCACGGCAGACACAATTAGTCTCTTATCCTGCCCCTGAAGGGTACAATCTAGGTCAGGAATCCTGACTTCAGCGCACACTCACATGCAGAAAAATGCACACATTCATCCTCTATGAATCAGTGTCAGAACTGGCAAGCTGTAAAATGTGCATTGCAAATACTGTATCAATGGGGCTTGTTACCAGGGAATTGTCCTTATGCCAAGTGAGGTAGTATGATTTCCCTCTTCTTTTAAGAGATACACAGATGATCTGAAAGCTATTTTGGCTCAATGTTCCACTGCAGGAGCTCTCTGGAAGATACATGATTATTTTCCCACTGTTGCTGAAGGCCACAATGAATAAATGAATGGGAAAAAAAGTCAGCCTACTGTAAGTGAGGGTAGGCCATTATTTTGTGGCACTGTATTTCAGGCTTTTATAATAGCTTCAGAGGGCTTAACAGCCAACTACCCCTTCATTTATTCAGCCCAGTCCATTCACTAAAGCATTTCAATTGGAAAATAATGACTTGATTGGTCCAGTAGAACTTTGAATGTCATCCAAGAAATTTACAGCAGTAAAAAAGGCTCAGCCAATCATTCACTGGGAGTGTAAATACTTAGAAAGATGGTGTTCTATTTTGTCTAATGTAATAGTGGCTCCTGAATCAGATAATGTTTATTTTTTGTTCTTGAGAATGTGCTACTCACAAGAATTCTGAAAGTAGAGATTAACCAGTGAGTCTGACTTCATGATAATCTGCATTTAGGTCATTTTAAGTTAATGACTTGGGAAATAAGATGATTTTGTTCTTTTTTATTGCCTGAGAGTTACTTTGCAGTCAGGAGTCTTGCAATTCCCAGTGTAGGACTAGATCCCATACTGCTGCAAAGACTAGGGAACCAGCACGTTATATTCCTTCACATTTTTATTCCAGACTATCTCCAAATTCCAAGGAAGCATAAATCCGAGTCTTGATGTTTGAAAGAACTGTGTACCATTGTTATGAAGAAAATGCAAATCAGCAGTGAGGCATTTGAACACTGAGGTACTTGGGGCAGATTTTCTTTCAGTGCAGTGCTGCCCTTTTGGGTACCTTAATTTGCTAAATGCTTTGGAGGGAAGTAATAATGACTTTAAGGGGTTCTATGCACAAAAAAAAAAAAACAAAAAAAAAAACAGAACAAAACAAACAAACAAAAAAAAACAACAACGTTCCATACAAAGGCAAAAGACAAATGAACATGAACATGATACACTATCTAGCAAATGCTTAATCCCATGCAGACTGGGATCCTGAGGCATTCTAAGTCACACTAACTTTACTCTGTATATAGTTAGTAAAGTAATTGGAAACAGACTGGCTGAATGGAAGCAAATAAACCAGATTCCTGGTCCTCCAAGGTGATGGGTGAAACATCAGAAAGCAACCTGCAACATTTTTGTTCAGAAGCAAGCACTAAAATGAGGACAAATGCAGACTACAATACTGGGGTAAAAAATAGGAGACATGAACATCAAAATTTGATGATTAAATGATTATGGAGTAAATGCAAAGTCTAATTAACTTCAGAAAACTAAATCTTGAGTAACAAGAGATCAGGGACTGCTTTGGACTGCAAGGCCCAGCCAGTCCCATCTGCTCAGTCCAGAATGAGTTCTTAACTCCCAGCTCCAAAGAACTGCATTACCTTTAAGCAGGGCAAATAACAGCTAACCCTTTAGGTTATTATCACTTCTACCACACCAACTGATACCAAGTTTGTGAGCTAACACGATGTTTCCACTCTTTCAGTTCAATAGCAGAGTAGATGTATGGAAATGTCATCATTTTGGCAATCAATCAATTTAGTAAAGTCTCTGCTGAATGACCAGATTCCTGTTATGCAGAACGAATAGCTCCTCCAGCTGAGCCTGGAAATGAGATGGGAAACTGGTCCTGTTGTAGGCTTAAGAAAAGCCTGTTTTCCTTTATGAAAGCAGATAGGGTGTGGTTTAGTTCCTTGCCTTTCTCACCAACATATGGGTTTATTTAAGAAAATGAGTCTCAAGACTTCAAGATGAGCACTTAGAAAATGTTTTCTCGAGAAAGGTGGTGATGAGGAACAGAGAGAAATGTCTGCCTGTGCTGAGAGGTGCTGACATGGAAGCTTTTGGTCTTAGCTGGCCATGAATGGTGTTTTGCAGCTTGAGTGGTTTGTTGACTGTGTGGTCACTAGTGGCTGCTAGTGACATCTGCCAGTGGGACCTGTGTCAACAGTGAGTTCACAGCGAAGAGGTATTTTCTACTGATGTGATTATTCCTAATGCTATTCAAATATGCAGAAAGGAGTAATTAGTTCATTGTGACTACTATGATAGTATTGGGAGGCCTCAGGTAGGCAATATTATCTTTGTAGTCTGAGGGACTTACTTGTTGTAAAATCAGTAGTGGTTTCTCTACCTGTCCTGAATATGACATTGGGCAATAGGTGAACATGAAGATCCAACAGATGGTGGGCTGGGAAAGATAATGTTGCTGTGACTGTGGCCTTCTAGATTGAATGTGATTGCAAGAAAGAGACCTGCAAGTTATTTGTGAATGCCACTATAGCAGGTACACCAGGCGATAGCAGCAGAGATGGGGTATGCTAGGGATATAGGTATGTGATAAAAACATAGAAATTAAACCCTGATCCCATTCCTATAAAGATTTTTGATCTGTTCTAAACTGTGGAGTATGAAAATGTTTGTCTCTTCTACCTCAGCCTCTAACCAAGGTACCATTCATACATCCTCACAATTGAAAAAGCCAACTCATAGAAGCAATCAAATCTTATCTTTCTTGGTGACTCTGCTGGAAAAAGCCTCCAGTAGCTTCTAAAGGAATGTATGCATTTGGCGATGAGGGAGGAAGGATACTTTTCCACTGCAGAAAAAAAGTCATTAACCAAAATAGTGCACCCAAAATCTCATTCTGAAAAAGATAGTGATCTTTCTGAACTTTCTAACTTGAGATGATGGGAACTGTGACAGTGAAACTGACATTTCACAACCTCTGAGTGGCCTTGCAAACCACTGAATTCATTCAATGTTTATTTTAGGCCCATCTAAAATTTTAATTTGAAAATTTTAACTCCTCTTCTGGTTGTCTAACTTTCATACCTAAGGAAATAATGCAGAACACTGGTAAGATCACTCTATTGGAGTGGGACTGGCAGGCATGGCAACAAAATCCCAGCAAAAGAGGATTCAGTGGAGCATTCTGGACTATATATACAAGACTGTAACATCTATAAAACCAAAGAAGTGCTTCCAAGTAAACATGATGATCGGCAGAAATAGAAGAACTTTCCCAGTTATAACACAACTGTTACCAGTGTCTTTTCCGTGATACTTTAACCAGCTAATCCAAACCTGATACTTAAGTACCATAAAAGCAGAGACAATTATATACATGCCTTATAACTGTAATTCCAGGACTGACAGGCCAAGATCTGGGTAGTTCTTATTATTTTCTGTAATAATTTTTTCTGCTTAGAAAGTGGATGAGTTCCCCAGCAGGAGAGCAGAGAGTAGTCAAATTTTGGGGACAAGCCAAGAAAACTATTTGGTTTTATTCCCTCTTATCTTTGAGCCAACATCAGAGTGCTGCAGCAGATAAAATTAGCATTCAAGCACACTTTTCCTTAACTAACCTATGAGCTGTAATTTTTATGAGGATTCTTTTTATTAGGGATTACCAATAGCTTGGAGTCCATCCAGCTGGAGGGGAACAGTAGGCACTTGCATCCATAAATGTTTCTAAATCAAAATTTTCTAGGGTTTACCCCTGTTTATCACCATCTCCTTCTCAGAACTAGGCTTATTCGGCATATTACACCAGTCTCAGAGCCCCAGTAAGTGCTGTTGGCCAATGCTTTTCCACATGAATGAGAAATGCTAGACTTTGGAATCCACAGCAAGAGCACATCAGTGGCAGACATATTCCTTTACAATGCTTCAAAAAGCACTGCTCCACAGTAAGCCATTCTTCCTCAAATTTACTTCTGTCCCTTCAATGTTTTTATGTCTCCTAAATTGCAGCTAAGACAGCAATTAGATTTCAATGATTAAAATGATTTACTTACCATATGTAACTGCTGGAGCATCTCCACATATCTGGGGAAAGAAACAAACTTTATTCATTGCCATTGATGAATAAATAAGGGTAGATTGCACAGGTTCAGTTTTAGGAGAGCAACAGACAGTTTGTAACAATAAACTCACAGTTTTTCTGAAGACATCAGCTCCTGGGCAATGAGGTAAGCTCTGGACTGGCCTTCCTTCTGTCAACAGCAAAACCCAGAGAGAATTAAGAGATGTCTCACACCAAGAAGAAAAACAGTGTTAGAGAGCACTTTGAACTGACATATTCCTTCAGTAAAGATAGGGACCAGGTTTTTATTCTTTGCTGTTCCGTGTTTGGCTTCCTGGAGTCCTTTCCATAACAGGAAAGGACTCCAGGACATGTTTGTGTAATTCAAGTACTAATGGTATAGTACAACATAATAGCTGCTAAGGTTTGAAAAAACTGTATTCTTATGGAAGAAAAAGAGAAAATTTCTGTTGATTTTTACAAGTCCAACATTTGTCAGAGATGCAGAAAATGTTTAGCTTTGAATAAGCTAGCTTCATGGCTGTAAAGGCTCTTAACATGTTTACTACTCTCAATTAAATGGAAATGGGAATTTGTTATCAAAATGCTCATATTCCAAAATGTTCTAACTGCTGAGAGACCTGTGGAAGCAAACAAGGCAAGTAACTTTATTGCTTACTAAACAAAATGTCTAAATTAAATGGTCATAAGCATCTCCAGAAAGCAAACAGTTCATTACTCCTGCAGGCAACATTGTTTGAAATCTCAGTGACATCTACAGAACTGGCAGACAACTCATTAGACACAGAAACCTGTGAAAGAAGCAAAGTATATAGCTGTAAGGTGCAAGTGGCTAATAAGGGTATTTTGGTCCTATGTCATGACTCACTCATGATAAGAAATGAACGGAGTGTGGAAATATTTACTGATAGGAATCTACTATGGAAAGTTGGACTTACATAGCAGTAGTGAAGCAGGGAACTAGAACAGTCTAGCAGTAGTAAAGAAAAGCAGCCTTCATTGATCTAAAGTGGGCTCAGGGGAAATGTGTTCAGCAGAAAGAGTTAGTGACATTGTGTGCCAGACCAGCTGTTCTGGAAACCCATTCCTTACAGATCCTGCTTCTGAAAGCCTACTCAGGAGAGACTGGGACTTGCTGAGATGTGATGCAGTCCCTTGATGCAACAGGTGGGAAGTTGGTGTTTACATCTTCTCCACTAATTCTGCATGAGGGGGCTGCTAACTGTCAGGAAAAAAACACAAAGCTTAATTGAGACCCCTCGTAAAAGTATAAATGTTGACATCTCAAATTAGGCTTGACAGATCAATAAACAGTTACGTATTCACATTATAACAACAAATTTAAGCAGTAAAAAATATCTAAGCCAGTGGAAGGCAAATACAGACTTTCTCCTCTCTGTCCCTTTTCCCTATCAGCTCTCCCGTGGGATGCAGGTGTCCTGGCACAAGTGATAATGCAGTGTCTGAGTTGCTTGATGTCCCATTCCATTCTCTTCCCCTCCCAAAGTCTCCTGGTTGTCCCCACTGCTGGAGGAACACACCAAAAGCACTGAGTTTTCTTTTCTCTCTCATTTCCTCTACACAGGTAGAGCACAGCAAATGAAGGGAGAGTGTCTCTCTCTGGGTCACCTAGATTGATGCTGGCTGCCCAGCGCATCCTCTGTGGACAAGCCTGGCTCCACACAGCCAAGACACGGAGTCCGCTTCCCCAGCGATCCAAGCTGTCTCTCTATTTGCATACACACATTGTCGCACTCTGTAATTCCTCTTGTGATTAATATGTCTTAGCCAAGAGACAAAACACAGGGACCCCAGTGTCACATGACCTGTCTAGGGCAAGTTGGAGACAGTGTCTCTAGGCGTTGCCTGTCTTGTGTTATTTAATTGCTGTTTGTTTAACCAGGAAATGAACTCTGAGATTGACGACAGTGTCCAGAGACAGACTTCTGGGAACAGGGAATAGAGGGGATGCAAGTCCCTCAACCATACCGTTTCTGAAACAAAATCCAAGTGATTATTATAACAAAGCCATGCTGCCACCTTTTTGGTAATCTTTTCTCCCCGCGGTGTGGGACCTTTCCAGTTCCCACTTGAGAGGCTGCACTCCAGGCCCTGCAGAGAGCCTCTGCTTAGCAGAGAGAGGCCAGGAGGCTATTTGGAAACCCTGGCAATCTGCCACATTGAATCCTCTTGTCTCATAGCTTCATCACCTCATCCTCCCCATTCTCTCTACTCTGAAAAACAGGCTGGTGCTAGGAAGGTTGCAAATACAAAAGCACAACAGCATAAAGACCTAAAAGCTTTTAGCACAGTACACATGTGAGCACAGCTGAAGTTAATTATTAGTCTTAGGCAGTTTGAACTGAACAACTTTAGGTTTCACATCCCTTTTGTGCCTCCTGACAGAAAAAAACATTTGGGTTGAGAAGGGGCAAGCAGTGAACAGTATGCCTGTGAATAGTGGCTAATTGCCCATGCAGAGCCTACTGATGTGGCACATCACCTTCCCTTCTCTGTGTCGTAGGCATCCCATTACTGCAGGGATGAAGTCTCCCCACGGAGTCATTTATACACTCTGGCTTTGCTCTGGACAATGCCAAGGCATTTGACTTGGACCCTCAATGGCCATGCTTTGATGAGATAGTACGGCAGTGCCTGTGTCAGTCACTGCTCTCTGAGCCCAGTGCCCACACACGGTTGAGCTGGCCTAGTTGTTTGCAGAACCATGATGAAAACCAGATTGGTGTTCTGACCCAGCTTAAATATCTTGGGGCTGGGGGAAAATCTGCCTCCATGGCGCTGAAACAGGGTTATATGGCTTAAGTTTAGCACAGGCAAATCAAAGAACTGTTCACTAGAGCTGAAGCACTAGTATTGCACAAGCCATTTGAGTACTCAAGAAGAAACCCTTTGCATTTGAAAAGCAGGGTAACTAGCTAAGACACCAAATCAGCAGCTCCATTTCCATGTTTACTGCTGCCTTATCATACTGACAGGGACAAACCACATCCCTTTGTCCATTTTCCCATCTGTGTGTCTTATTTTGCAGACCCCTCAGGGTAGGTGTGTTGTAGCGTTTTGCTGGATAGTACCCAGCACAACAGTGCTACTGTTGCTATCAGGGGCTTAGAGCAGTTTGCAAGCTTCAGCCTCTGAGCTGAGTGACTTCATAATGTCCCTTTTGTAATTATTATGAACTATCCAGTAGTTCACAATGATGTCACAGTGGAGCCAACAGTAAACTGAGGCACTACAAGAACAAATGGCTTTTTCAAGCTGGGTCTATGAATCAGTGAGAGGAAATGCAGTCCACATCTTTTGCCTCCCAGGCGCCTTCCTTGAAGAGCTAGATTTCAGCTCCCCTGGGGAATCTGGGTAATGATATAAATCAAGAGTTGTCCCCTGAAAGGCGTCTGAATTAGGTGCTTCCTCAAGGCACACAGATCTGTCACTCCCAACTCCAGCATATGTTTGGGTTGTGTATGTGAAGGTTAAAGGTTTGCAAAACAGAATGATTAATGGAGCCTGGAAACCAAGCCCACCCAGTGGAAATGCATAAGGAGCAGCAAAGGCAGTTGTGCGTACAGCTGCCACGAGACAGTAGCTGCCCTGCTTGCTGTGAGACCTTTGTGGCTGAGCTCAGTGTTCCCTCACTGTGTGTGGCACAGATGCCATCCATGTGCCATGCTGGGTTGCGGCCCCCCTTTTTGGACACTGCCTTTTGTTTCAGTACCCGGGAGTAGCGTGGAGCCTCTCAACCTCTAGTGCTGCCCTTTCACAAGCACAGTGCTTGGGATCTTTTATGTACGGAGTTCTCCTTCGTGCTTCCCCCCCCCCCCCCACCCCAGCACAGCACTATGTAATTGTAACGAGCACCCCTCTGGTCTCGCTGGCATTCAATATAAAAAACCTAAGTCCTAAATGACTAGCCAAAATGCTTTGAGTTTTCATTGCCATAAAATCCAGCCACATCTGGTCCGAATTCACTTTCTTTTATGGCATCTTACTCTGGGGTTATGTGTTATCTACCTCACTAGAGATTTTCCCATTTTGCCAGCAGGGTAAGAGAAGATCACATCTCATATATCCTGGCTGTGTACATTTCCTTGTAACGTATTGCTGGTTTTAGGGTGAAACTAGACAGTATTTGCATACAGATTGATTTACTTTTCGATTTCCCATGGAGTTAACTGGCAGACATATATGTATTCTGGGTGAGAGAACTGTCCTTTATGCTCCAGCTATGGCTTTATTACTTGTCTTAGGATTTGTATTAATTTATTTCCTGAGTACTCAATAGACTGTAATTTTTAAAGGTGTTCACAGAATCACAGAATTTTCTAGGTTGGAAGAGACCTAAAGATCATCGAGTCCAACCTCTGACCTAACACTAACAAGTCCTCCACTAAACCATATCACTAAGCTCTACATCTAAACGTCTTTTAATTACCTCTAGGGATGGTGACTCCACCACTTCCCTGGGCAGCCCATTCCAATGCCTCACAACCCTTTCAGTAAAGAAGTTTTTCCTAATACACAACCTAAATCTTCCCTGGCACAACTTTAGCCTATTCCCCCTCATCCTGTCACCAGGCACATGAGAGAATAGACCAACCCCCACCTCGCTACAGCCTCCTTTAATGTACTTATAGAGAGCAATAAGGTCGCCCCTGAGCCTCCTTTTCTCCAGGCTGAACAAATCCAGCTCCCTCAGCCGCTCCTCTTAGGACTTGTTCTCCAGAATCACAGAATCACAGAACTGTAGAGGTTGGAAGGGACCTCGAAAGATCATAAGGTCCAACCCCCCTGCCAAAGCAGGTTCCTCAGAGCCCTCACCAGCTTTGTTGCCCTTCTCTGGACTCGCTCGAGCACCTCCATGTCCTTCTTGTAGTGAGGGGCCCAAAACTGAACACAGTACTTGAGGTGCGGCCTCACCAGAGCCGAGTACAGGGGGACAATCACTTCCCTAGACCTGATGGCCACACTGCTTCTTATACAAGCCAGGATGCTGTTGGCCTTCTCGGCCACCTGAGCACACTGCTGGCTCATATTCAGCCGACTGTCCACCAATACTCACCAATACTCTGCCAGGCAGTTTTCCAGCCACTCATCTCCCAGCCTGTAGCGCTGCTTGGGATTGTTGCGCCCCAGGTGCAGGACCCGGCACTT